GTAGCAGAGATCACCAATGCCTGCTTTGAGCCAGCCAACCAGATGGTGAAATGTGACCCTCGCCATGGTAAATACATGGCTTGCTGCCTGCTGTACCGTGGTGATGTGGTCCCCAAAGATGTCAATGCTGCCATTGCCACCATCAAGACCAAGCGTACCATCCAGTTTGTGGACTGGTGTCCCACTGGCTTCAAGGTTGGCATTAATTACCAGCCTCCCACTGTGGTGCCTGGTGGAGACCTGGCCAAGGTCCAGAGAGCTGTGTGCATGCTGAGCAACACCACGGCCATTGCTGAGGCCTGGGCTCGCCTGGATCACAAGTTTGATCTGATGTATGCCAAGCGGGCCTTTGTGCACTGGTATGTGGGTGAGGGCATGGAGGAGGGAGAGTTCTCTGAGGCCCGTGAGGACATGGCTGCCCTGGAGAAGGATTATGAGGAGGTTGGTGTGGATTCTGTGGAGGGAGAGGGTGAGGAAGAAGGAGAGGAATACTAAATTAAATGTCACAAAGGTGCTGCTTTCACAGGGAAGTGTATTCTGTTCCAACCGAGCAAGTTGTCTGATCAGTTAATTTGTATGTGGCAATGTGTGCTTCATACAGTTACTGACTTCTGCTTTAATATGAACAATTTGTCATAGACCCAAGCCGTCCATTTCACTGGGTTTTAAATAAAATATTCCCTGTCTTAAAAGTCGTCTTGTGTTTTACACTTGGGTGTGTCCTAGTTTTCATTCTTTTGCTGAGATAATCATGACTAAAAGGGAGGACGGGTTCTATGTTATCAGGGAAAGTGGAGGCAGGAGCTGATGGGGGATGAAGGAGTGCTGCTTACTGGCTTACACTCCCGTGGCGTGCTCTGCTATACACACAATCCGGGACCACCCACTCGGGTGGGCACTGCCCATAGTGAACCCAGCCTTCCCATACCAATCACTAGCCAAGATGCCCCCAAAGGCTTGCCTACAGAGCAATCTGATGGAGACACCCCCTCCCCTGTGACTGCGCGTTGTGGGAACTTGACAGATAACCACCACAGGGTATGTAAACTCGGTACTTTGAGAAGGAAGGACAATGGACAATTGGTGGTGGAGGCCTGTAGTCTCAACAGCTGGGAGGCAGAGCTGAGAGGACTGAATGATCTCCTACTGTAAAAACAAACTGCAGACCCGCTAGGCTACATGACACCTCTTCAAAAAGGAAAACAGTTGGAGAGCAAGTACACAAAAAATAAAAATAATTAGAAAGAAATTCAGGCAGGATGGTCCACGTTTAATCCCAGCAGAGGCCGATGGATCTGTGAAGTTAAAGCCTGCCCACTCTTCAGAGCAAGTTCCAGGCCATCCAGGGCTGCAAATGAGATCCTGCCTCTAAGTTCAAATAACAGAAGTGTTGATGCAAGTTTATGCATATCTACAGTTAATTTAACTTAGTTTATGAAACCAATAAATAGATTATCCCTAGAAGAGAAAGGAAATGAAAAAACTAATGAAGAACACAGGACAGTAAGGGGAATGAATAAGAACAAAGTAGAGCATACAAGGATGAAAACGGCATCGTACAGGCAGAGCTCGGTGAGTTCAAGGCCAGCCTGGTCTACAAAGCAAGTTTCAGGACAGCCAGGAATACACAGAGAAACTCAGTGTCAAACGACAAACACATAAACAAACAAACAAAAAAGAAAATGCCACCATAAAGATGAAAATAAAAAGATTACAATAAAAATAGTTTTTAGGGGCTGAAGAGATGGCTCAGAGGTTAAGAACACTCGCTGTTTTTCCAAAGGTCCTGAGTTCAATTCCCAGCAACCACATGGTAGTTCATAACCATCTATAGTAAGATCTGGTGTGCAGGCAGTATATTGTATAAATAATAAATAAATCTTTAAAAAATAGTTTTTAGTACTTACATTTTTATTTCATTGAAGTTACTTAACTGGCAGGTTTTTGTTTTTTTTTTTTTTGTATTTTGTTTTCCCTAACAGGCCACTTTAGGTAGGACAAACTGTCCTTGAACTTTACTTTAGGTCTGGATGCCCTAGACTCCCAAAAGCCCTACTCAGTAACTTTCTGAGTTGAAAGTTGCTGACTTACAGTCTTTTGGCTAACTGCTGATGTTATGCTACTCACAGATAAAATGGCGACTTGAAAATGTGCCTCGAGCTTTTATGAGCTTCTCATGCTCCCTGGATTCCGTGGCACATATCAGCGCCACGTGCTTCCGCTTCCACTGTCCAAACTTCTCCAAAGATGCCTGTTCTCCAGGCGAGTGCCCCTGCATTTGACCTGGATCTTTAATCTTTTTTCCCCAAACCCATCTTTAGCTGAATATCAAGTTGAAAGCCTAATGAATTTATCCAGTATAATGTGTTAATTAAATCTGAACAACTCTCTAAGGATATGCTTTTTGTAATATGTGCCAACAAATTCAAAGAAAAGCAGTGTGCAGTTTGAGGCGGCAGCAGCACTCCCAAAGGGGGGGGGGGGGGGAGTTAGGCTCTGGTTATTTGGTGTGCCCAGGGCTGAGAGGCACACATCTAGACCACGGTGGAAGGCGGAGGGCTCTCCTGCTCTGTGGTTCCAAGGACTGAACGCAGGTTGTCAGGCTTGGAGGCAGACATCTTCACTGGCTGAGCCAACACACAGTTCTAGAAACAGAATTAGACGAAAGATTTCTCCGAAGATTGAGCCTGCCATCAGTCCAACTGGCAGACGGGCCTCTCAGCCTTAACATTGCTGTATCCTTTCCGCCTCGAGATACTCCTCAGTGGAGCAAGTTAGATTTGTTTATATCAACTGCCTTTTTTTTTTTTAATTGCTTTGTTTTTGTTTTTTCGAGACAGGGTTTCTCTGTCTTGTAGCCTTGGCTGTCCTGGACTCACTTTGTAGACCAGGCTGGCCTCAAACTCATAGAGATCTGCTGCCTCTGCTTCCTAGAGTGCAGAGATTACAGGTGTGTGCCGCAGGGCCCAGCTTCAACCGCCTTTTTAACGTTCTTTTCTTTGACACTGCCAGCTAAGGAATTGTAAAATGTCAATGTAGATGTTCAAATTCCCAGTTGTGCATCCACTGGAGAGTAGATACTCACCATGAAGCTCCAGTACATACATGAGTTTTTATTTTTTCCAGTACATGAGTTTTTATTTTTTGTTTTTGTTTTCCGAGACAGGGTCTCACTTTGTAGCCCTGGCTGTCTTGAATCTCATTGTGTTGACCAAGCTGGCCTGGAAGTCAAAGATCTCTGCCTCGTGAGTAACAGATGGCTGTGGTTAAAGCCAGTGGTCACAGAACAAAGGAGAAAGACACAAATGTGAGGGCCAGAGAGATGGCTCAGCAGGTAAATATTTTTGCCACCAAGTCTGACCATCTTAGTTCTATCCTCAGGACCCACTCGGTGGGAGGGAAGAACTGATGCCTGAAAACTGTCCTCTGACCTCCTGATCCTCCCCATACATACATGCACACAAAATAATTAAAACAAAGTGCAATGAGGCTGGACACCGTGGCACACACCTTTAAACTATGTACTCCGAAGGAGGCAGAGGCAGGTGGATCTTTGTGAGTTCAAGGCCAGCCTGGTCTACAGAGTGAGTGAGTTCCAGGACAGCCAGGGCTACACAGAGAAACTCTGTCTCAATAAAACAAAAGAAAACAAAAAAAAAAAAAAAAAAAAAAAAAAAAAAAGAAGTGCAATGAAAACAGGTTTACAGAATGAACTTAGGAAAGGGATTTGTAGAGAGGAGCAGGGATTGGCTGGGGTGGGAAGGAGAGATGAGAGAAAAGAGGATTAGAGTAATTAGAATGTATCATAGACAACCCTGACATTGCAAAGGACAAATCTAGCCCCACTCTCTGAGAAGCACAGTCTTGGGTGCGCCTTACTTTCTCTTGGAACACCCTGTACTCAAAATTCTTCTTTTTAATAAATTCCAGCTCTGCTTTAAAAATTTTTTTTTAATTTTTTTTTTTGCCTTTTGCTTTTTTGTTTCTTTTTTGAGACAGGGTCCAACTATACAGCTCTGGCTGGCCTGGAGCTTGCTCTATAGACCACACTGGCTTTAAACTCAGAGATCCACCTGTCTCTGCCTCTTGAGTGGCGGGATTAAAAGTGTGTGCCATCATATCTGGTAAGAACAATTTTAATTAACAACCAAAAAGGTTTTGTTTGTTTGTTTTTAAGATGGGTACACATCTTTAATCCTAGCTCTTGTGAGGCAGAGGCAAGGGATCTTTGAGAATTCAAGACCTGTGTGGTCTACACAGTAATTAAAGGCCAGTTACGTGGTGAGATCACCTCAAAAACAAACAAACAACGACAGCAAAAACAAAACAATATCGATAATGGAAATGTAATAATAACTGACATTTGAGTTTAACACCAAAAGTAATGTAGCATCAGAAGTATGGAGTGCGGTTGTCCATGCCTGCGATCTCAGCATCTGGGCTGTGGCAGCAGAAGGAAGAGAAGGTCAAGGTCATCTTCAACCACTTGGCAATCTGGCTTTAAATGAGATTCTGTCTCAAAAGAATCAAAAGCCAACAAACCAATGAGCAACGAGCTGGACTGGAGGGATAGCTCCGCGGTAGAGTGCGCTCAGCTCACACCAAGCTGTGGATTCAATGCTCAGCACTGAAAAACAAGCAAAAAGGCCAAGATGGAGCTGGAGAGGAAGCCGAGTTGCTGGAAGGTTCGTCCAACGTGCAGCAAGCCTTGGTTTGGTCCCCAGCAATGAACACGCCTGTGGAAGCAATGTGCACCTGTAATCCTAGAGTTTCACACATGGAGTCAGAGGACCCGAAATTCAAGGTCATCCTGGGCTACATAAAGAGGGTCTGAGTCCAGCTCAGGGTACACGAGAATGTCTGAAACAACAACAACAAAACCCATGCAGTCAACCAAATGCAAGCAAGCAGTATGGCATCTCCTTTACAAAATGAAATAAGAGTTCTTACATGATCTACCAGCTGTTGGTCCATACTCCAAGAACTATGCCCGTGTCATTTCTGTAGCAAAACACCTTACAGAAACTAAGTCCTAAAAGGGGTCCCTTTGCTCTGTTGCCCTGTCCCAGGCATGGCAGGCAGAACATAATGGCTGTGGCAGAGCAGTGGCTCCCCTCATGGAGAATGGGAGACAGAGAAAAGGGACCAGAGGACAGTTTACTCTTCAACAACAATCCTGGCGACCTACCTCCTTCAAGTAGGTCTCCCCATAGCAACATAGAGTTATGAATCCAAGAATCGATTGACCCATTGATCAGCACAGACCCCTCACTGTGCAGTCACTTCCTCAAAGCCAGGAAATCAAAATCAAACTTTTTAATATGTGAATCTTTCAGGAACTCTTCAGATTAAAATCACAACAAATAGAAAACAGAAATGGGGGAAGGGCTGGAGAGATGGCTCAGAGGTTAAGAGCACTGGCTGCTCTTCCAGAGGTCCTGGGTTCAATTCCCAGCAACCACATGGTGGCTCACAATCATCTATAGTGAGATCTGCTGCCCTCTTCTGGCCTGTAGGTGTACATGCAGACAGAACACTGTATACATAATAAATAAAGCTTAAAAAAAGAAATGGAAACAAATATATATACATGTTCATATTCACAAAAGTCACAAATAGAAAGAACCCACTAGGGTGGAAGAACAAAACGTAGTAACAATTGAATTCAGAGTAGATACCACAACAGTGACTG